TGAACATTTTATGTGTCTTGGAGGCACTCAAGTCGCACATGAGCAGCGAGTCAAAGCAAGTGGCACAAGACACGACGCAGTGCAGCGATGCGTAGTACGACACCTGGCGCACCCACTCCGGGTGCACGCGCACCAGCTCTACTAGGCGCAGCTCCGGCAGAACACGAGGCTGCGAATCATTTGCGGTTACCCTGAGGTCGCCGTACAACGGTACCATAGAATTTACTCCAATCTTTCTGTAGAATTTACGTAATTACTGTACATATGTAGGCATCATTATCATTACCCTCTTCTGTAAGTCAATATGTCGTAATGTTTTCAAAGCCCGTCCAGCGTCGTTCCGGAACGGACCGCGCATGTGTGCTGAGAAGAGCAGCACCCGCACGTTGCCGCCCACGTCGCCGCAGATCAGCTTGCACTGGTCCACGTCATCTTTGTTGAAGTAATAATACATCGTGCAGATCTAAAAAACAAATACCAACTTGTGATATTTACATAACATCACGCATTTTATCCCCGAAAGGGTAGGCAGAGGTGCACATTACGGCACTTAATGCCACTGTAATGTAACACCCACTTTTCACTATTTATGTTATGAGTCCCATGTAATAGGCGGTGAGCCTATTGCCATATACCGGGCACAGTTCCAGACTCCGTGCTACCACTGAGAAAAACCCAGTAATACTTTGCCCGACCCGGGAATCGAACCCGAGACCCCTTGCCCGGCAGTCGCACTTGCGACCACCCGGCCAATGAGGCAGTCAATATATATTTGTCTGAATCAAGAGGTGAACAACTGTACCTCTAGTCAATACCTGACGTATTCTTCAAGTTTTATTTAGTATTACTATGTTAACCCAACAGCTTTTTAAATGTGCAAAGTTTTTGTGTATTTCTGATTTCTGAACTACGAAGCCGAAGTAAACTTCCTTGCCATACATTCCCAACTTGTAATAATTATCTTCAAGATAAAGGTTTTAGCAGTGCAGTCGTAGAAGCGCAGGTCTCTCTCGGTGGAGCTGGTGACGATGATGTTCACGTCGGGCATGCACACCATGTCCGTCACCCATGTTGAGCGGACTTTGAGATGAGCTGTGGGAGAAGAAAGTCAAATCACAAGAAGCGAACACGTTTCAATCTTCAATTTATTAATAACTAGCGACCCGCCCCGGCTCCGCACGGGTGCAATACTTATGTAAAAATACCTACTACAAAATGTCCTTACCTATACACCTCGTTCTATTACAGCTATTTTGTCATTAGACAATACAAACATGTTTTATATCGACATTTTCCTCTCTAGAGAGCTTCGATAAACGCGTGCAATCGTTGCAAGTCATGAAGTGATCTTGGACGAAACGCGGCCATCAACGCCGCAACAAATACGTCCCTGCATTTTAAATTTGTAATATCTTCGGAAATATTCACTTAAATTACATGCTGTAAAAAGCATATTGATCTATGATAAGTGCACAATTTATTTAAAGTAACAACTTAATTGGAAAAGGATTAATGCTGTATTGTTTAAAATCACTATCAATCAATCGTCAATAACCATTGATAGTAAAGGATAAAAAATTGATGGTTTGTTATCCCTAATAGATAGACATATACCATCGCGGACTTTTTTGTTGAACTTTTCAAGGTGATCAATACTGTAGTACATTATTTTGGTCTATCTCGTAGGGTAGGTACAGCCAGCGTTTGCAATATAAGCGCAAAAAACGTGATGATTTACGACATCACATTAAAAACATCTAAATTTATTATTGTTTCTCTACTTTATTGTGCATGTAAAGAAAAAACTACTTCCTTAAGAATCAATCTAACTATTAAAAAAAACTGCACCAAAATCCGTTGCGTAGTTTCAAAAATTTAAGAATACAAAGAGACTTATGGACAGAGAAAGCGACTTTGTTTTATACTATGTAGTGAAACATGTTAAAAACCTATGCCTACATCGACTTTATCTTTTAAATACGATCCAAAAACTGCATTTGGTATATTACTAACGACTGGAAGAGTAGCCGGTCCTCAGCAGCTTCATGTCCAGTGACCACCAGTTGACCATGCCGTCGCGGCTCGCAGTAATGTACGTGCCCTGCATCGGATCCGTGCAGCGATCCTGTCGTGTAATATTAAACATCTGATTATATCGCGTGTCTTGTTATACTAGCTTCGCACCAGTTTATAAATTCAATAATCACCTTGTCGACTTCAGGACAAAAGCATATCCTAGATATTGGGTGCCTGTGCTGTGAGCGCATGATGACGGGCAGCCCCATGATGGGCAGCTGCAAGGACTCCCGCTGGTTCTCTGCGTCGTTTCCGAAGTAGCCGAGGATCAGGTGTGAAACCAGTTCGTCCCAGTCAATTTCGCCCGTACGACTGGTGTTTATCTGATAGGTTTAAGGTATCTAAATTTGACTACTTCATCGTAAGCGCATTATATTTTAGTATAATTTGAAAAAGTATCACGGACTTTCTTAGCTACTCCTAAAAAGGCAGAGAGGCCCATCCATTACAATATTTTATTATAGTGTCTCAGAATTCTACCGAATGCAATGCAGGGGATATTCTCTGTGTCGGGGTCGTGGACTTTGAAACGGGGCGTTTTTTAGTCAGATTTCGACACTTTCTTCTGTTCAACTTGTATGAATAAACCACTGAATAAAATAGTTTTTAGTAAGAATGTATATGGTTGTAATGTAACACCCTGGGATATATATAATAAGGCTTCATTACAGGTACGTACAAAACAAGCACCTTTAAAAAGAGTATATTATAATGCTCATCATCGTACTCAGCATTCAATAATGTTTTGATTAACTCTCTAAATTCTCCGGCACTCATTTTATTTCTGTACGCTGATTGGAAGGCATCGTTCAAATGCATCATATCCATCATGGTGCAACGTTCATGTAGGGCCACATTACGAAACCGGGGTACTGTTGTCGCTGCAAGTCCAGTTAATGAACTTTCAGACTTCGAAGAATCGGTTACAACCAACTTAAACTCGTCGTTTGCCATATTACTGTACAAAATAAATGACTAAAACTTTAAATGTTACACAAAATACAGCCATAAAGAAAGAATTATAAAAATAAAACAATTGTTTTGTAATATTTGTCTCAAAAAATGTTGTTAATATTTTTACAAATGTCAGAAAGTACCGCGAGCGAAAATTGGCGTTTAATTCTTTCACCCTTTAGTATTATACTGTTTGCATTTGACCAAGGAGTACCTAATACTTATTATACTCTTTGACCTACGTAATGTAGGCAGTCCATGGCAGTCTGAGGCAGTCTTATTTAAACGTCATCTTCTTTACGTTAGTTAACGTATCTACAAAGTCAATCAGTATGCCAGTCGGTCAGTCGGTCAGTCAGTAAGTCAGTCAATCAATTAGTCAATCAGTCAGCCACTTCCAGTCGCACCCTATGAAGGCAGGTGGAAGTAAGTGACGTAAGTGCCTTTTTTTGAGGGGGGTGAAATCATCGAATGACTGCTCCCGCCTGGACGAGGCGGGAGGCAGTGTCAGACTCTTACTGACTGAAAACCACCCCGTTCCTACTCCTGCACTTCGAGCTGGAACCCCGGTAACCCGATAGGTTCTCCGCGACTCCGTATCGACATCAGCCCTATTGAGCCCCATCCGTGGTGGTCCGATGGCTTATTAAGGCGCGCGCGGAACGCGACACGCCGTACGCTCGGGTCTGGTTCTGGTCGAGTGGCGAGCCACCCATGCTCGCCGTCCGCAGGCCCGCGCTTACGGTCCTTTACGACGGCTGGGTTATGAAGAGGCAGCGCTACGCTGCCTCACGCGTCCCGCCTCCTACTTATCTAGCATGACTTCGCAAAAGGAGGAGACGGCATCCCAGGACGCGAGAGGTCGCCGTCGCCGATCACGTCCCTGAGGGCACGGTGGTGCTCAGCCCACGCAGGGCATTCTCCGACTGTGTGTTCCACCGTGTCCTCAGGGCGGTCCTCGCAGTGATGACAACCGGGCATTTCCTCCCGCCTTATCAGACACAGGAGCCTCCCGAAGCTCCCATGTCCGGTGAGGACCTGCATCAGGCGGTCGGTGAGGACGCCGTAGCGTCTCTCAAGCCACTCCTCAAAGAGGGGACTTACCGCTGCGATGGCAGCGAGCCCAATTATGATGGGGATGAATGTGCTGTCGTGACGGTCGATGGCGAAAGGACGCAGCAGGTAGGTATTAGATTAAACAATTCTTCAGAGCACTCCACGTGGTATAAGCGATAGAAAATTACAAAGAAGCTACATATCCACGCATTTCCAAAGTGTCTAGTCGGTTTGAAACTTCCCGAAACCCAACAATCCGAAGGGCACGCCGCTGAACGCGGTGCAGAAGAAGCAGGCACTGGGGTGTGGCCCAAAAATGAGAGCAGAACTCCATGTCAACCTGTGTCTTATATACCTATAAGCATGCGATAGACCGGGGTGAAATACTGCCTCGACCTATTAAGCACACCAAGCTTCTGCGAGGCTAATTTGGCCTTATCCTACCAGATGACCGCGGAACTTGACGTCGCTCAAATGCTGACACCAAGTATTTTAATACCGGTGAAATGACGTAAATCGTTTATTTCAATAAAAAACTTAAATGACAACTATTACTTAAATAAAATTAAATTAAAACTAAATATTATATATTAATATTATATATTGTACCGGTTGACGCAATTAGGGGGGTGCTTTGAAACTGAGGAGAGATAACCAACGGCAGGTTCTTGCGGTGCGGTAATCGCGCAGACCTGTGTCTTGTCTTAGTCAAGATCGTCATTTGTCATTTACTTATTATTATTACAAATGTATGTAATGAGAATGTAATAAATTGTTTTTAATTTTCTTCTTTGGCAACAGTCTCCAAAATGGTGTTGTCTGCCAGGGTCGATAAATTCTTTGATCGTCATGATATAAACTACAAATTCATTACTGTCAATGTCATATTTCATTTGACTGACAGTTGACACTGGCATTAGTGACACTGACAGTAAAATAACCTAAAACCTTAGTTTAGTTTTTTATTTCTAATTTCTATTTCTGTACTCCTGCTTCTAAATTGTAAGAGTGGAGTTGATTTTAGCAATATGTTTCTAACTCTAAGGTTATTGTCGAATCGACACCCTTCGTTTATTGCACGTACAGTTTTCGTTAAAGACAATAATGTTGATGACGCCTGTCGGCTGATAAACAGAATTCTTGGCAAGGAAGGCATACTCGAGCAGTACAGGCTGACCAGATATTATGAAAAACCATTTCAGGTACCATTATGAATTCTTCACATACGCAGTGTGATAAACAGGGCCTAACATTCATATAACCTGTATATTTTTCTAAACATCTTGTACACATGAATATTGATTATGATAATCGTACCACTATAAGCTGTGAACGGCTTTTACATATTCGCCGCATAAGTGCTGATACAATTGTTTTTACTTTTCAGACAAGAAGAAGAGTGAATCACGAGCGTTGTAAGGCCATATACAATGAGGATATGGAGAGAAAGATACAATTTGTACTCAGGAAGAACAGACATGATCCCTTCCCTGGCTGCTCTTAAACATTGTAAATGTATTTGTTTACAGCTTAGAAAGTGTTCACATGTGTCCGAAGAGTGCTACAACCATGTACTGGTGAATAAGAAACTTTTAAGTAGGTAGCAGTGATGGGTAGCAATCTGTTATTATTTATTGTAGTAAGAACATAAACTTGACATGATTAATTTCTCAAAGGTGCATAATGTCACCAGTAAATATTTATGGATATTGTATAATGTTATAAGAACCATAACCATCAGAAAATTTTATATCTACTGGTGGCACAGTACATTCATTATGACTTTTCATTATTTGTATGTCACTGTAACTTCAACACGAGTGAGCCTTGGTTATGAAACATGTATTTTGTATAGTTTATAAAAGAAATCAAATTACATTGTTCTTTAGAGAATAAAACATGATATCAAATAGTATCCAAAGTGTATTTCTTACAACATAATTAAGTATGTATAGTTATTTAGTTTCATATAGCAAAATATTTACAAGAACTGATGCATGGTCATTTTATTGATAATAGAACAGTCTTTATAAGAATATATTATTATGAAAGCTATGATCATGAGGACTAGAATGTAGGTTTGGCAGGGTGCGCGGCGGCGCGGCGGCCGGCGGTCGCGCCGTCACGTGTAGGTAAGGCAAGTGTCGCGCTGCTTCACGTAGTAGTGGTAGCGGTAACATCTGTGACAAGTCTTGATTCCACAGCGGTAGCTCAACCCTCCTTGGGGCTTACCCTTGCAGTACTTCAATCCACAGGGATACCAGTTCACACACACCTGTCATAAAATTTATGAAATATGAACATCAGCCACTCTTTTTCATTCAGGCATTACTAAGTATTAGTTATTGTATGCATAGTGCCTTTTTTACAAGCCATGCATTATTTGTAAATGTTTAAATTTAATTAATATCAAACCTCCATATGACAAATGCACTCTTTAGTGCGGTCTGTCTCTGAAACACATGCGCCAACTGCCAGCTTCCCATCCGTTGTATCTGATGAGAGTGCGTGCGGTGGGAACGGAGTCACTACTGTGGCATATGAAGACTGATCGAGCCCTAAAAATTTTGACCACAACAAATCATTTCCACCGAAATAAATTTGAATCAAAACAGTTTCTTTTGTTAGCGTTTCAGGAGCTGTAGATGGTGCTCTGTCATTTCTCAGCAGAAATCATTTCTGTTTACCCTGATGGGGCAAATGTGTTATAATTTAATTTAACTAAAGAATCAAGACAAACCCGGGCGTGGAGCCCACCGCGCGAGATCAGCGGCGCGCAGGTAGACGCGGTCTCTGGCGGCTGTGCAGTGCCGGGCCGCGGGAGCAGACAGCAGGCGCACGGCGCGCCCCGCCCACGCACTGGCCGTGGTCTGCCTCCAACCCTTGTCCTCCTCTGCTACTCTTATAGTGCCTGGGTTTTTCTACAGAAGCAAATTACACACTTTAACTACAACACAATACCATAATACTACATAACGTGCTAAATAATTACAGATACCATATACAAAACACAGTAGATATCTGTATCAAATTTGTGAAAACAGTATGTTACATATTTTTTCTGTAGTATGATTTATCTTGCAGTGGCAGTAGTATTTTAGAAAGATTTAGTTATTACACAGTGATATAATGTGGTGGTGTGATAACAATACAAACCTGTCGCAACTTGGCCATTGCATCAGGAGCTATGAAGTCAGCCTGGGCAGCGTGAGTCAGGAAGCACAGTGTCTGGTGGCCTGTTTGTCCCATTTCTTCTTCACCAGGAATTATAAGCTTCATAGCCTCCACTTCCTAAAAATATCACTTATTATTTGAAAAGTAAAATAAGTCACCATAATACACTCTGTTGTACCATTATTATAGCTCTTGGGTAATAATTATGTATTTTGTTCATACATTAATTAATTGAATCATTGATAAATTTGATTAACAAAAAGTTGATAACAAAAATGTTTAATTAATATGAACACTATAGATTATTTCTTTATAAACTAGCAGTGAAAGTTGCATATAATATAGAATATTAATCTATGCTTTTGTCAAACTTAATTAATTAGGATAATATAGTAGTTATTTCTAATGGTATGGAGCCATTAGGACTAGGTACTCACATTAGTGAAGTCGACGAGCTGCGACACGAACACGCCATCCAGCCGCATAAACTCGAGGGTGATGGTATCTTCTGACACATTCGCAGTTATGTTCTCCTGCATAACGTCGCCACCCTGGACATTGTCACCCATGAAACAACTGATACATTTCAGTCTTTACACATAATCTCTATTATTTCGACATAGCAACGTGAAGCAACATCTCTGAGTCGCAAAGTGCACACATGTTGCAAATATTTAATTTAATTCAATTAGAACGGTTTACTTAGAAAGATTTCAGAGTTGCAGATTACTAGAATATAAAATAAAATTAGCTGCTCACCTGATTTCTAACATTAATAACGAGTTGCAGATTAGATGGTTTTACGGATAAGTATAGTAACATTAGTTTTAAAAACAATAGCTTCATCTCAACTTTTGTTAAATCCGATTCCACTACTATAGTTACTTTACACTTTGACTACTTCACTGATTTGTTTGACGATTTCCTGTGTGTGTGTATTGTATTGACAGTAATGACAATATAATTGTCGTTGTGACAGTTTATTGACATTGACAGTGTATTTCTGTGACAGGAACTTTAACCTCCAGAAATAAATGGAAATTATTACCAAAACATTGTTACGTGGTTATTTAACAATATAAGGGAGACATCAGTAGAAGATCCAAAAACATTTTCAAAAGATAAATAATTCACTTTTATGAAGATCATAACGATGTAAAATTTTGATTAAACCAATAATAACGCCGACTGAACTTAAATTATAAAATTCTTAAAATATCACGAGTATTGAGCGTAATTTAAGTTATTCTATACTTTTGAGCTTAATTACATTTCCTGATTTCAAAAAAATATTATGTAATTGGGTCTCTCGAAGTAAATAACAAAATATTATGTTATGTAAACATCCTTGCAATACCACAAGTGCATACAAACATTGGCCCGTTCCAATTCATGCAGTTTATAGAAATGTGTTTGTTTATTAATTCTGTTTAAAATAAAGGAATATAAAATAAAAATAATAATTTTACGCCTAGGCTTTTTAATTATATATATATTGATCTACATTTTAGTTTTAAGTATTAATTAATCGAAAAGGGTAAATTTCCTCCAGCAGTTAAATTGAACATAAATAACCTTAAACCCTTTCATTACTCATTATTATAATTAAATCTAATCAAAAGGCTATAATAACAAGTTGTACTCAAGTGCTTGCACCATTTTTGTAGCACGGGTAATTTTATTTTTGAGGTCATTACATTACAACACGATTTCGCCCGATGCGCAACCGAACAAGACACGAACGTCATCCGAAACGGAAAGAAGGGCGATGTTGCATTAGCGAAGAAAGACAGCTGTCGTATCATTTTCAGCTGATTTTTGTGTACGCATCGCGGACGCTGCAAACTCAAACAGCTATCGAAACCTTTCGCAACGGTACACGTTCCTCGGTTGTAGTCGCGTACAAAGTATTTCTGTCGTGAGAGTAGTGCGACGCAGCAGGCCAGGACCGAGAGTTTCGCAGCGACGAACAAAGGGAGATGGTCTATTGAGCGCGGGTGGTGCGTATCGGGCGGCCGTGACGTCACTCGGCCAAGGCGTCGAGGCCGATGCGGCGGGCGCGCTCGTGATCTCGGCGCTCCGACGAGCGCGGCGAGTGGGTGCAGCGGAGCGGGCCAGCCTGGCCTCCACTGACTCGGGCGACGAGGGCGCTGGGCACCGGCCGCCGCGCAAGCGGACCCGCAGGCTGTCGCCGCCCGCCCGGCCCGCAGACATGCACCAGCCCTGTACCAACGGCGCGCCACCGCCGCCGCCGCACCATGTCAATGGCGACACTGCGACACGTAATGGCGACCTGCAGCCGCCTGGCCTGCGGATGAGTCAGACGGACCAGGAGATCGTGCGCCTTATAGGCCAGCACCTCCTCTCTATTGGGCTTGAGTGAGTACAGCTGGGCGTTGACTCTTCATCTTTAGGCTAGATGTGGGCTGTTGTTGTTGTTATTGAAAACATTTCTGTTTACATTGCTTCCAACTCTCACACTTTATATTAAGACCACACAGTACAAGTATGTATTTATTGAATTATGTAGCTACAATTTAGAAAAGTAATGATCCAGGCTGTTGTTAAAGTTTAATTACCTTTGTTACCGTCAGAATGTTTGCACAACACAGCTTCAGCCTCTGTTGGCTCACCTAGAGCGCTGAACATGTCATGTGTTCACTTTAGTAAACAACAATGAAAATGCACATTTTGAATGCATGCTAACTACTTTACATCACACAAATAACAATGCTTATGTAGTTCTATTAAGCACCATACTCTTATGGGTGATCATTTCCTTTGTTTATGTGTTACTATGATATTAAATTTAAGACAAGCTCAGAAATATTTAACAATAAGTTCAAAGTGAGTAGGTACATATTTTTGTCAAGTCATTATTGTAGTGATGATAATGAAATTATTAGTTTCCTCCAAAGTTAACAACATATGTGTTTGTCAGTTTGTGTAGCAGGCAGTTGCTGGTAAACAAAGACTTGTTCACTACTGTTTGCCATTCATAGCAAAGTAGTATTCCTCAAACAAGTCTATTTCTTTGTTCTCTTTACTATACATTGCCATTAATATACACTAGGAACACAAAGTATTCATTTTATAAATTATATTGTAGTTATCTAAGTAAACAAAATGGTATTGATATCAGTAACAAAATAATAGATGTACAGTTCATATTTTTATAACGAAACTCATTAATAGTTGGATAAGATTAGAACTAGAAAAAATGCCTACAACTACTAATTATGATATCAACATTAGGCGACAATGACTTGTTTGTATTATTATTGTTTTATGTCATGAACCTCATTTTTGTAATTTGTGAACTGACAGACCCTGTGAAGTGTGTAACCTATATTATATAAAGATGCAGACATCTTGTAGCGTGTCGGTGAGCATTCCTCCCTGCATAGCCACTTACTTATCATGTTATCAGTCACCTATATTCATGTAGTTGCTAGGTATGTCTTACTATACTTTGATAAACCATACCTACACTCTTATTAACTGGCTTCTCATGAATTTGGATATTTTGCCTTTACCCTTATCTCAAAAAGTTTATCTTTTAGCAAAACATGTGGTTGCACTTAATTATTAGTTATTATCATAATTAATTGACTGGTAACTCACTTATCTGTTGGTTTTGTTAAGGATTTCCTATAAATAACCTCATTCATTAACCGCCAGTTCTCTTCCATTGCTGTACATAAGCCTCTTTCAGTATAAGTAGTAAATAAAAATATTCGCTAACTTCGCCTTGGCGTCCTAATGAAGGACGGCTCTTACAAATGTCAAGTGCTTACAAAAATGTTTCATATATATCAAATGGTTATCATACTTTTGTTATTTTACATGAGTCTCCTACACAGTAGCCACAGTTGCACATTCCTCCACAGTAGGACACTCACAATAGTTGTGAATGTGAATGAATCCTAATTCAGCAGACACTTGCAACCTCTTCCGCAACAACATTGTTTTGTTGTAAGTCCATTTTATAAGAGATGAGCCTGAAACCATTATTACAATCCCCAATAGGTAAAGATCGGTTGAAAGGCAACCAACCTGTGCAACAAAACTATATTGTGTTGTGTATACTATAATTTTGGTAACTATACAAAACATTTGATCTTTGAGTCCTACACAGGAAGGTGCCGTGGGCGGGTGGGCGTCAACAATGCAACCCCGTGAGATTCTTAGGAAATCATCTGTTTGGTGTTAAGGACCTTAACTTAAGGCACCTGTGTCAAACAACTACAATCCTAACTATCCACTTTCTCAATAGTTTTGTAAGAAAATGCTCATTGAGCCTTACTATTATTACCACATAATGAAATACAAGATAAGAAACTACATATTATAATAACTGTCTGACCACCCAACAAACAGCTGTATATGACATGCTACTATATGATTATAACTACACTACACCTGCGTACAAAGATGTGTGATAAGAATATTTCGCGTGTAAGTAACATGTTAGTTACTTCCACATGTATTCATAGTATTGTGTATTTATACATTTAGTTATACAGTATATAATTTACTATTTAGTAATAACCGTCCATAGTAAGGAAGGGCACACGGTGTTTGCTTTTTGAATGAAGTGCGCGTGTTGCGATATTGTCGCTAAGTCATGTTCCCACACGTAATTTGTTGTAAATATTAACCAACTGTCTGCAACTGTATGATATCGGCGATTCAATGCTTTATGTTCATGTTTTCATATGTATAACATAACATTTTGAACATAATCAAGATAAATGACTTATTTATTAATGCTGCAAACAAACAAATTACTATGAAATCAAAAAAGAATGATAATGTGAATTGAGAAGGAGAAGATATGAGCAGCGCTTTGTTGTTTGATTGAAATGTAAACCGTGGTGTTGTGTCAGGCGCAGCGCGGCGCTGCTGATGGAGGAGTCGGGGCTGCACCTGGAGCACCCGGCGGCCGCCACGTTCCGGCAGCACGTGCTGGCCGGCGACTGGGTCAAGGCCGACCACGACCTGCGCGCGCTGCACGACCTGCTGCGGGACTCGCCGCACGTCGACCCACACAGTCTCGCAGTCAGTGTCACCACACTTGTTAAGAGCCGGCTTCTCAACCAGGGCTAGCCAATCATATTATTTAAGCGTTGCCCCACACTAGAATTTTTTCCTGTGTCGTGGGTGCGTTTACAAACATACAACTTCACATAAACGTGACACTCAGACTCGGAACAACAATCATACCGAGATACATAAAGAATTGTTCCGCGGGGAATCGAACCTGCAACGCGTTGTGCTGCAGCCAGTAGCCCAGCCACCGCGCCAACCGTGCAGTCAATTAATTAATTGTTAGTGTTATAACCCTTGGTTGTCTGTACCGCTAGGAATTAGGACAGAAAATGTACTAATTGAAAAACAATGACACGTGTTTTCCCCCCAAACGCAGGAGATGAAGTTCGTGGTGCTGGAGCAGAAGTACCTGGAGCACCTGGAGGCGGGGCGCGTGCTGGACGCGCTGCACGTGCTGCGCAACGAGCTGACGCCGCTGCAGTACGACACGCCGCGCGTGCACCGCCTGTCCGCGCTCATGATGTGCGCCGACGCGCGCGAGCTGCAGCAGCGCGCGCACTGGCCCGGCTCCGGCGCGCACTCGCGCGCCAACGTGCTCGCGCGCGTACAGGTACCTGGCGCCGCCCGCCCGGCCCTGCATCTGGCGCGCCGTACTGAGGCCCCGTATCCTTGCAGTCGGTGCTGCCGCCGACGCTGATGATGGCGCCGGGTCGTCTCCGCGCGCTGCTGTCGCAGGCGACGCTGCACCAGGCGTCGCGCTGTCGGTTCCACGCGGCGCCGCGTCCGTCCGCCAACCCGGAGAATATCCCCTTCTCCCTACTGGCAGACCACCACTGCTCCGCGGATCACTTCCCGATACACTCGCTGCAGGTAACTTGTCTTCATTTTACTAGTTTTAAAGATAACAATTCTAGAAGGTTATATTTTTGTTTGGTGGCAGGTGCTGAATGAGCACTGCGACGAGGTGTGGTACTGTAAATGGTCGCCAGATGGCTCTCGCCTCGCTTCTGGTTCCAAGGACAACACTGTCATGATCTGGGACTTCGACCCCGTGGCCAAGCGCCTCACCTTCAGGTACGTACATCATCTGTCATATCCACGCTTCATTCATGTTTTCATTGCCGTCATATAGCCAGTCGAGGCTTTATATCAATGGTTGTTGTTTCAATATAGGAAGTCCCTGGAAGGCCACACATACGGCGTGTCGTTCCTAGCGTGGAGTCCGGACGGTCGTTATCTGATCGCGGCCGGCCCTGAGGACTGCCCCGACCTCTGGATATGGAATATGGAGGTTAGATTACAAAATCTTCTTTTGAATAAAATATAAAACCATATGGATAGTAGTATTGTTTATTTAAAATTGTTAATTATTTATCGATTCATACGTATATTAACAGTTATCATTTGTGTTGTTTAATATAGTAATAACAATATGTTGGTATGTATGTCCACAGACGGAGCAGTTGCACCTGAAGATGACTCACTCCCAGGAGGACTCCCTGACGGCGGTGGCGTGGCACTCCACGTCCGACAAGTTCGTGTGTGGCGGCGCGCGGGGACAGTTCTACCACTGCAGCCTCGACGTCAGTATACACTGTAGCGGTGCTTTGATGGAATAGCTGACAGATGTACTGATATGTACCTGATGATAAGCGATCAACCTCAACACAATAATAGTCATAAGAGTATTACCGGCTCTTTTAAAAAGTTCTCTTTCTTTTACATAGTGTGTTGGTCTAGTATTTATTACTGACGTAATATTACTTTGGCTTCCTTATAATTCTCATAATAGCGCCTAGACGTGACCCTAAAAGGATACAAATGCCGATTATAGAAGTTGTGTTTACCTTGAAATATTAGGTTAATGTGAGTACATGATAAACAAGTGCCCCCCCACAGGGCAGCCTGCTGAACAGTTGGGACGGCGTGCGCGTGAACGCGCTGGCGTGTCGCGCGGACGCGCGCGCCGTGCTGGCCGCCGACACGCACCACCGCGTGCGCGCGTACGACTTCACCGACCTCTCCGACCGGAACCTGTCAGTACCGCCCCTACTCCACGGCGGCAGGCCTCTACCTTATGCCTTGTTCGCACGATGCTAGTGATTTAGTCGATCCGCGAATGTTTAGTATTCTCTCACTTCCATTTTGGGACAGAAGCGAGAGAGGACTACTGAATATTTTTTTATTTATTTATTTATTTATTCTTTTATGTACACAATTTTACTATGGCACATAAGGCGAACTTAATGCCATATGGCATTCTCTACCAGTCAACCTTAGGGTTTAAGTTGAAAATAATATTCACTACTCGACTGAAGTACTAGTGTCGTGCGAATAAGGCATTAGTCCTCCACGCCATATAGACGACTTACCACTTGTATCTAAAGACGGCCCGCACAATATTTAAACACGTACTACTCTTCTCCCCACCTTACGTTGCTCCTGCTGCGAGCATTTGAGACATATTTCATTTTAGAATCCTTGGGATGTTAAGTTAAAGTATATCAAAGCGAAACTTATTACTGACTTATTATTAACGTAAAAGTTCAACCTTATTTCCACACCGAAACGCACATATAAACGCGCGAATGAATGCTTGACAATTTAGGCGAAAGCGCATCAATGCGCTCGTTCTTTTCAAATATTTTGAAGTAATGTGTGAATAACAGTGAATACGACAAGTGATACTAATGCAGTAGTGTGGTGTTACAGTATCCAGGAGGAGCACGCAGTGATGGCGATGACAGTGAACCAGGCCGACACGCTACTACTGCTCAACGTGGCCAACCAGGGCGTGCATCTATGGGACATACGTGAGTATTATACACTCAAACTGTTCATGTTGAACGGCTGAACAAGGTTTTTCATTGTGTAAATATTGTGGTTCGTACACCTTGTGTATGCAAGTATGAGCTTCTGTCAGTCGAGACGTGTATCGAGTGTATGTTTGTGTGTAGGTGCGCGGGCGCTGGTGCGTCGGTTCCGCGGCCTGAGTCAAGGTCACTTCACCATCCACGCCTGCTTCGGCGGAGCGCATCAGGACTTCATCGCCTCCGGGAGCGAGGATAACAAGGTATCAAAGCGCTTAGTTTAATTCAACTGCTTAAACGTAAAGTATTCATTTTGCGTTATTAGCGAGTGGTTTACTGTTGTTGTCGTTTGTACCCAGGTGTACATCTGGCACATAGCGGGCGAGGAGCCCATCGCGGTGGTGTCGGGCCACACGCGCTGCGTCAACTGCGTGTCGTGGAACCCCGTGCACCACGACGTGCTGGTGTCGGCCTCCGACGACTACTCGCTGCGCCTGTGGGGCCCGCGCACGCACCACTCCTAGTACCTGGGTGAGGCTCGCTCGGCCCGTAGCCCGCGCGGCGCCGCCCGTACTACTGCTGGCTGCGTGTTGCAGGGACGCGGTGTCCGCCGGGGGTCATCTGCCAGCGCCAGTGTAACTCTCTGCACTGCAAGCTGGAGCTGGCCCCGCCGCTCGGGCCCGCGCCGCTACCTGCGCCCCCCGCTGCGCCCGCGCCGGGGGCGGAGCCCCAACCTGAGCCCGAGTCTCGCCGCATGCCTGGGGCTGCGCCCTGAACGTGCCTCCACTGCTCTGTGGATGCCGACGGGCCTCAAGCTCACACGTGTGTTGGATATACGCCACGGAATCACGACTAGTGCACGTCGCCGACTGACGATATTTGATCTAAATAGTGTGACATTGTGTAATCTGTGTGCGCTGGAACTAATTTACTCTATTATTCATACTTAAATAAGTCATGTATCGAGACCGGGACCATCCGACGTCCGGTTCCATGTAACGATTGCTCGTAGTATGTAGTGGTGGTTGGCCCCGCGATGTAAGAGCCGGCGCCGCCTCGGATAGTGCCCGCGAGGCAGTAGTCCGTACTGTATACTGTACGCGATGTACTGGCCACTGAAACTGTGTAACTTATGTTTACTGTAATGTGAGTGAATATAGCGCGAGTACACGCGGTGCGGCGGCGCGGGGGGAGGGAGAGATTACGGCGGTGCGGCGGCGCGGGGGGAGGGGGAGGGGGGGGGGTTGGTTAGTGTACGGTCCCTCGCGACCGCGGATTGTAAGCTAGGTTTAACATGCGAAATAATTTCATACAAAATTATTTGTTTTAGCCATATTGAGTTTTATTGATTGAGGTTATTGTTTTAAGGTGAAAATTATGAATTTGTATTTGAGAGATATAATTTTATTATTATGATTTGATAAAACGTGTTGTTATAGTCCAGTCATTAAAAGTATTCGATTTGTTGTGCTTTCTCTTTTTCCGAATGTTATCGTCTCCTCATAAATCTACCGCTCCATGGCATTTTACAGTAAATGACAAACTTCACAAAGTTTCCTGTAATGTCGTTACGTAAATGTGTTTTCTAAAATTAATAGTCTGTATACTAGCCCCATATATTTCTTCATTACACTTTCCTTCATATTTCCCTTATTCTTTTACTTCTACTCAACATGTTGAAATATATGCTTGCTTTGCTTTGACAAAATATGTTGGCAATGTTATGTGTGGTAAAGTTGAAATTCGGAAAAAGCACATCAAATACAGTTACCAAGTTAAAGAATTGCATGTTTCTTGGTGACCCACTTTATTTATACCAAATGAGAGGACTATTTAGGTTACGTATTACTATTTAGACTTGATGAAATCTCTGGTCGGTTGCCATTGAAGAAAGAAAGAAATAAATATCTTTGTTCGCAAAATTCCATATTATTGTTTTGGAGGATGACAAAATACATTGCATGTATTTATAGCGTAGAGTTCTAAATTTATGTATCACTATATTAAGGTTCGATTAAATAGATATAGGAAGTAGGGACGCTCCCGCGCCGCTCTACCACACGATAATAATTTATTTAAGTCTCTTCGGATAAATTAAGTAAGACTTAGTCCTGCCCCGCCCGGTCCGTGGCGCGGGCCGGCGTGTATCGATAGCCTCAGAGTATATTTTGTAGCGGGACCGCTCACGGCTCTATTTTTATACCGACCACTGAATCTCTCGCGAGGTTGTTTACTTTACTAAGCCGTTATACTTGACACGTTCGTTGTAATATACTGGAACCGCCACACCTCAACTTACAGCTTGATTGAACCACTCCGAGACACACGCCGCCACTGAATCATCGTATACTGTTTTTCATTTCTGATTTATTTACAGGATATACCACTATCCACCACGATAATTTTATATTATCTACGAAAATTGTAACGGTTTAGGCTGGTCTCGGAGTGCTTCACAGCTGTACCAGTACACCAACTGTCTGGGGAATTATCTCGCATCATCGGACAGCGTGGTTGGTGCACTGGTACAGCTGTATTGTGTGGACATAATGTCTCTATAAATAGTTGTAAATGTGGGATTCCTTGTTAGTCTGTATTCAATTTTATATTGCTTAATGGAAAATGTTTGCAGTAATGTAATACTTGTCGGACACGGTGTGAGTAGGGACTGGGTGGCGAGTATAACGCGCTGGGTGCACCGGACTGCCGCGCAGACGCGAAGCGACGTCGACAAATTATGATCAGCCTTTGTAACATATCGACGGCGAAGTGCCAATAACTCCTAAGTTACAAAATACAAATTTTACAGAAACGGAAAAAAACGTTTAATTTCTTGGTAAATTAAAAATTTGTAAATACATGTATTAATTTAGAATAATAATAATCTATCCTTTATATACCATGCTGAATTGGTACATTTTACGATAGTTTAGTAGGTATTCGGATAGATAGGAGGTATTAACTTTGTACTTATTCATTTTATGTGATAATATTGTGATATTTAGAAGATATTGAAATGAACAAAACGCCGAATTAATCAGAATCTTTTTAATTTGTGACTTATTAGAAAACAAATAACAAAAATAACGTAAAAAACATTTTTTTTTCTTTTATAAAAACAATTTTAAAAATGTAGCTGCTTTAGTTTACTAATTAAAAGTCATCAAAATCAGTCAAATTAAGCAGATGAACAGATTATTCATGAGACAAATTGTCATAAAATAAGTGACAATCTTTTGGCAAGACTTCTTTTAATTGTTGAAGGTGATTAAATTTGGTAGAAGCTATGGGAATTGGTGCAACATGTAAAGGTGAGTACGCGACAGAGTTCAGTTTTCTCGGTCTAACAGGTAACTCTGTCCAATCATCATCAAAGTTAATTTTATAATAAATAGTGCCATCTGGTCTATACTGAATGACTCTCAGATCAACAACTACAGGATCGCCTGCTTTTCGACCGGGTCTTATGGTGCTGTATCTCCAATTTGTTTTATCATTATAATTTTTAACAAAATCGAAGTTAATTTGAACTGCTTCATAAGGAAAGGGATTTACTCGTGCCTCCTTCGTTACTGTTATGTAGTCACTAGGAAGATGTATCTCCCTGTTTTTCAGCTTCCTTTCGATCGCAGCATGAACTGAGTCGCATTCCATCTGTGTGTGTCCAGGCTCTAAGTACTTCTGTGTGATAGTCACGTCATGTTCAACACTAATATTTAACAAGGCATTCGCCATTATATTATTCCTATTTTGATAGGTGCATCCATCTGAAAAAATGACTATAGGCAATCCTTTAGGCAAGCAATATCTCAAGATGTAATCGGACACAAATGATGTGAAAGTACTAGCAGTAAGATCTGCGCATGTCTCATCAAACCAATAACAGGAGGCTTGGTGAGTGACCAGGTCATACATTGTAAAGTTATGACACGTAAGCTTTGTCTTAAAGTATAATGCGCTAGCTGTTAGATAAGGGCACACTTTAACAGACTCCAAATCCATGGACAACAAAATTAACTCTCCAGATGTAGCCTTCTTTTTGTCTGTTTCCTTCTCTTGCCTCGCTCTATTTTTACGTTTAATGTGTTGTTCATAATCAAAAGTAGTAACATTCCCTACTGCATGGCCACAGCAGGTATCGCACATGTCCTTTTTTAAGGTGTATAAGGACAGATTTTTCTCGTGAAACAATTTCTCGAAAGTAAAGCGAGAAAGCACAGGCTCTTCCTTTTCCGTACAATGTTCTTTGTACTGTTTATATAAATCGCTCAGAGAACGGTAAACAGGTTCTAAATACAACTTTGACGTTTCCTTCCTGGCATAGTGAGATGGTAACTTGGGAATATTGTCTAAAAAGTTGCGTGCGGTAAGAAGCTTCTGCTGTGTTCCAGATCGTGGTGTTCTGCTCCTCATTGTATTTTGAATTTCTTGACAAGGAATTACTCTATCACGCGATTTTTTGACCCAAGATTGGACTGTGTATGACCCCAGACAAAGAGTATTTAAAAATGTTGTTCTGCAAACCTGTAAATTTTGGCCTTCGTTCATTGGCAAAAAGTAATCGAAAGTACCTTCACGTCTCGATCCCTGATCATTTGTTTTGCGTGCCGTACCCTTACGGTTTACAAGTCCGACTACATACACTTTGCGCTGGTCCCAGTTAAGATTTTTCCAAAAGTTGGTGTGTATTTCTTGTCGTCTTTCATTTTCAAATCTTTCACAATTTCGTACCTTACTCTTTCTGCAAAACTGCGAGTTGCACCTATCACCTAATTTTCTGGCAGGTCTAATTTTGTCTTGTTTTAGTTTTCTATCCTTTGGTTTAGTGTATCCCAAATATTCTTCTCCTAACATGCGAAGTTTCTTATTTTTTAATTTCTTCCAGTTACCCGGGTCACGATTAGCAAGGCGTTTTCTGCCTTCGTTTGGATTTCCATGGTAAATGCCTGACGACGTGGATGGTTCATCTAAAAGTAACCCTGGCCCTGAGCTAGAACTGTTTGAATCTTGATCATTACCAGGACTAGGACAGTAAGTTACATCACTATCAATGCCAGAATAGTCACCATCATAGGAACACGTTTCACTTATTAGGTTATTAGGTTCCGGTTCGCATCGTCTTTCATAGTGTACTGTAATTGTAGGTGGCAGCGAAGAACAACGTCGGCGAGTCATAAAACTGTTAACCGTAATGTTTGAAAATGAATTCGATCTAGTAATGTTACATTTCTGCTTATTTGTTTGGTAATCATTGCAGTGTAATGTTCTGATTTCTTGTGTCACTTGATCAAGCGTATCTGAAAAGATATCAAAACTTAGTATGCGTTTCAGAATTTGCTAACACAGAAATCACAACTCACTAGGTAGATAGGTAAAAAAAACAACTTACCTGAGTTGCATGAAGCAGTAGCTGGGGGCTGATTATTCTCCTCGTGGCCTTTCAATATATTCAACATCTTTCTTGCTCGTACTCCCTGATAATGCTTTGTCATCCGCGACATTTTGCTAAAACCATAAAAGAAAATACCTCCTAAATGCATTGATTCATCAAACAACCAAGTAAAAACGTAGAAGAAATACATCCTATCTACAACGAAAAACTCACAATGTTTAATTATCATCATTAAATCAACTAAATATTATCACAAATAACATGAAATAACTTGTATTTCTTACCTGTAGTTCTTTACAACTCGTCAATCCGTGAATTATATCAGAAACACAATGTTTTAACTATTGTACCTACGAGTAAACTAACAAAACAAACACGTGCTAACACGAATCGCCCCAAACTGCCTGCTCGACTTTATAATACCTCCCCCTCGTCTCTTCTGCCGCCCCGGGCTCGCCGCGCCAACTTCATGTCAATCGAAAACAACCAACGAACACGCATAGACGTGTCCCGGAAAAGTTAGGAGGTAATGCCATAAAATAGACACGATGTTTAACTTGAGAGGTATTTCCACATTTCAATTTAATGCTTTTGCAACAAAAAATACGCTTAGGAGGTTTCATAAAAACATGCGAATAACGCCTTTAAATTCAAAACGCTAAAAAAGTGAATTTCGTGAAAATTGTTAGTTAGGAGTAATTGGCACTTCGCCGTCGATATTTGTTTTTGATTGATTTTACTATATTTTTAGAGGTACTAATTGTAGCTTTTGTAGTTCGCACAATGCCTTCCCCTG